GGCCACCGCCACCGCCAGCTGGGGAAGCCACCTGCGGGCAGAAGCCACTGCCACACCACAGCAGCCTGCAGGCCAGGCTCCAGGAACGCGCTAGGGGAGAGATGGACATTGCCTTGGAGGCAGGAGGGACCTGCAGCCACTTCATCCCTCTCCTTGCAAACACCATGGCTTTCTGCACGTGGAGGTGCCAGGACTGTGGCAAGAACGAAGCAAAGAGAGGCTACAAAAGAAGCAGCTTCAGCCACGGGGTGGAAGCTTTCCACATCTCACCCATGGAGATGTATCTGAAGACAAGGTGCCAGGCTCTGGGAAGTCACACCTGGAGTGACCGATAGAGCATTTCTGATGGGAGACAGCAGTGCAAGACCCATTTTTTAATGTGAACACAGCCCTTTGAGATCATAGACAAAAGATGTCACAGGCAGCGATCTCACTATATTTGAAGCAGCACATAAGCAAGCCACAACAGTGACCATCTCAACATTTTAATGAATACTGTCACACCTATACCTTGCAGTCTGATCGCTCTTCTCAGCATCTTTAAATAAAGTATTTACATCCTGATTTTCAAACAGGCGCAAACCCTTGAGATCACTTCTGTGACCCTGAATTTTACCAACTTCAACGTTTGCTGGAATGGAGCTTAAAAACCTGTTAACATTTAATTGTGTGATACCCGTCTCCAAAATACTTGAGCTACTCTCAAAAAGGGCAATCGAGAGAACATTAAAAATCAGAATCAGAGCATTCAGAGTAAAAATAGGAATCTCAAACTGGTACTGACTTAGAAACCCTCCAAGAATTGTTTTGTAGTTCTAACTGGGGTTATTTCCACGTGTCTGAACCTTTAGGCTGTGACCGGTTACATTTGCGAGCATTCCTCCCTCATAATGGGAGCTGCAAAAGTACCTTGAAAAAAAAACAGAAAAGCTGAGATTCTCAGTTAGTGGCTTGTGTCTGGTAGCGAGAGCTTTAAGCAGAGCACAAAGTATCAGGAGACTCGTGATGAAGTTGCAAGAGTTGGCAGCACTCAACTTAAGAAGGCCTGGAAAAAAAAGTATTTACATCCTGATTTTCAAACAGGCGCAAACCCTTGAGATCACTTCTGTGACCCTGAATTTTACCAACTTCAACGTTTGCTGGAATGGAGCTTAAAAACCTGTTAACATTTAATTGTGTGATACCCGTCTCCAAAATACTTGAGCTACTCTCAAAAAGGGCAATCGAGAGAACATTAAAAATCAGAATCAGAGCATTCAGAGTAAAAATAGGAATCTCAAACTGGTACTGACTTAGAAACCCTCCAAGAATTGTTTTGTAGTTCTAACTGGGGTTATTTCCACGTGTCTGAACCTTTAGGCTGTGACCGGTTACATTTGCGAGCATTCCTCCCTCATAATGGGAGCTGCAAAAGTACCTTGAAAAAAAAACAGAAAAGCTGAGATTCTCAGTTAGTGGCTTGTGTCTGGTAGCGAGAGCTTTAAGCAGAGCACAAAGTATCAGGAGACTCGTGATGAAGTTGCAAGAGTTGGCAGCACTCAACTTAAGAAGGCCTGGAAAAAAGTGCATTCAGGGTAGGTAACTTTTCTTTAAACACATTTCGCTGATTCACCATTTCTGAGGTTTCCTCAGAAAACTGCAGGCTTGCAGCTGATGGAGGTAAAAATAATATACTGTTCAGTTCTTACACAGCCCTTTTCATCTCTGAATCTCCAAGGGTTGATTTGTTTTGTTTCTCTTAAGATGGGATAGTTGAAGAATAAAGGAAGCGGGGACACCTTCAGGGACGCACCTCCTTCACTCTGCACTGCAGAAAAGCAAGCCCCAGCCCTTGCGCAGGCAGGGTGGCCTCCACGCACGTACCTACACCGAGCCAGACCACAGCACTTGTAAAGATTGGCTTTTGTCTGGGGGAGAACTCGGGGAAGGAAGTATTCTCTCTCTCCCCACCTCTTTCTTCTACCCTGGAAACTGCAGATAGAGCAGATTGTTAAAAGCATGTGGAAAGTTTCAAATTTGAGCAGTCTCGGGGACTGCTTGTATGATCTTGGATTACTCACAAAGGGAAGAGGACACAGGTGCATGCACCTGTCTGCAACAGCGGGGTTAATGCAAGAGCATTTCTGGGCTCAAACTGTGCTTCCTCTAACCTCCTTCCAAAACCAGGGAGCCATTTGCCTCTCAGGATTAGCAATACCAAATATCAAAAAAACCCCCACAACGCCCCCCCAAAACCCCATGATGAAGCCCCAAAATCACTGCACGAAAGGTTCTAGTCAGCATCCACTGCCACTAGCTTTTCTGATGGCACGTTCGGAGATATGTGGTGCCACTCTAGGGATTAAATGGGGAAAGCCACGGCCGGAAAATGAAGGGGGTAGTTTAGGAGCATATCAAAGCGTCAGCCTCCTGAAGCTGAAGTTCAACATACAAAGTAAGAGAGTATGAAGGAGGGGGACGCTGATACACATGGTGAATTAAATCAGCACTGGAATGAAGTAAGAGCAGGATCAGTTCTGCATGACATGATGTAGGGTCAGCTCTTCCATTTACACATCGGCTCAGCTTCCAAGTCTTTGTTTCTGAAGTAAACAATGTACAATTAGAAAAAAAAAAAATTCTGTGTGAAACAAAGACAAATTTGAGAGTAAGCTGTGGGACATCTTCCCAAAGAAGCAGCCCCGAAGAGACAGGCAAGCCAACTGCGGAGCCACAGCAAAATCTTTCAGTTGCCATCCCAAGTGCTCGTGTGGGCAGGGCAGCCTGCAAAATGCCAGAGTTGTATGTGACAGAAACAAAAGTGGGTGGAAAGTGAATGGCACGAAGAGGCCCGATGCTATTCAACTGCTGACCAAAAACCCCCCAAAGTCACATTTAAAATGTGGTTGAGCAATCCACAGGCAACGCTGGGGAGGGGCTAAGGGAAGAGTATTTTAGGGGAGAATGAGATCATTTAATTTAGTGGCTCCGAATGATCTGTAAGTACAGTTTTCTGATTATAAGTGCTTGCTGCTTGGCATCCCTTCTGGCAGCTGTGATTCACTTTCATTGTGTGTTCTGCTGCTTCGCCCTTTAGAAAAGGGCTTTTTACATTTTATTAAATGGCACTTCGGCAACCCTCCATTTCCAGCCTTAATAATGGATTTGTTAATCTCCCTGATAGCCTTTCCCTCCTCCTTAGCAACAATTTAAATATCCAAGAAGAAATCTGCAGTGCAGAAATCAATTAATATTTACATCTGAAACGCTGCTGTACTATTTTAATCAAGTAGAACAGATGTGGCCTGTTTTTTACCAACACCACCATCACTTGCATCAAACTAGCATCCTCCATCAGGGAAATCTCCTAAGAGCTTTCTAGAAAGTAATGTTTTATGCTTCTCAAACCTGCAGTAACTTTAGCTCTTTTCTTTCTACTCTGCAGGAAGGGAAACTGAGGTGTTAGCAGCGTAATTGCTTACACGAAGACACACCCTAAGCTAGAGGTGGAACAGGAACACAGCTCACGAATCAAGATGCCCAACCCTCCGCTTCGAACACAAGGCTTAGAAATAACACAATGCTTTGCAAGGGGGAAGTTATTTTCAATAAGGGCAACCTCTTTGGCTAAACTGCCTAGTTTTTCCATCCCTTCTTTGCCTTTTTCTAAAATCTTCCCATCCCCAACTCTTCGCAGCAGCCTCTGGGAGGAACATAAAGATGGCAACAGTTGCATGAACTTCCTTTGCTCACCTTCACACAAACACCGCAAATTCTTAATACCGCTTTCAAAGCCTTGAAACCAAACGCTCCTGCAACCAAGGCATGAACAGAGATCCCTGGCAGGAACCATTCTCTGCTGCTCTCAAAGCAGTGAAAAGATTCACCGGTTCCCCAAATTTCAGGGGACAGCAGATCCACAAAACTCCTGTTTCTCTAGCCAGGGGAACAACATCTCCAGCGTACCTGAATGTCCCACCTGCCAGCACACCCTGTAACAACCAGGTCTCCATTCTTGTGCCCGTGACTGTAACAGCTCAGCATCGGAGGACTTGCAGAAGCGGGCTGGAGAAGATCCCAAGTCCCACCTACTCAACACCCTTCCAATGCTTGCAATACCTTCAGTAAGGGACCTTCACTGCCTATAGGAGGTGGCCTC